TTCCGGACATCGGGTGGACCCCAACGAAGCTTTCCGCGTGATCTACAGGGTCTCACTAAATTATCCGAAGCTTTTGGGTCAGCGCCTGTTAGCAGCAGCAGAACTGACAGCTATCAGGCGGATAAAGCCCCCTTTGTGCGCACAAATCAACTTCCTGCAAGCCCCTCAGTTGGCATGGCCCACAGTCACATAGCGGCATGCAGTCATCCACGCTGTCAAAAGTACACGTATACTCGCCGAACTGGACTTCTGAATTCTCTGATGGGAATTTTCGAAACTCTAAAGCAAATTTATTATACGAAAATAATTAACTTAAAACTAAACTAAAAACTGAATTATAATATAAACAAGTTAAATAAACCAATTAATATAAAATAAGGTAATGTAAACTAGTAAAGATTTTAATTCCGAAAGCAACCGCATGTGACTGATAAATCTAAAACTAAACTAAAATGAAATTTAAAACAGAAGTAATACTTTTCTAAGGCTTGAGTAAACTCTACGAAGTGCATCGCTTCGGGAGACAATGTGACGCTTACTCTGTTCAGTCGGCAGCAACCTCGCTCACATGTATTTAAAATTATCTACTTCTTCACGTTGACAGGAATTAATCTCGCGGGATGCCTTCACTTGGGCATAAATGCAGCACGAAAAAACTTCTGTCTCTCCGGCGTTTATGCACAAGCTTACCGATTTAGCGACCTCGTGCAATCGTGAAACCAACCAACCTTTTGACAGTCATCAGGTCTGCACTGTCAGACACGGACTTGTTGCCCATTTCCTTATAGATTTTAAAATCCGTTAAAACACCCAACTTTCCGTACTTGTTTTAATCGAGTGCTCGTGTTGAAAGCTTTGCTCCAACCAGAGCTATTGTAGGAGTCTGCAAGCCAGCGTAACTGTGCATCACTCATCCTGCCTTCGCTCTGCCAGGCCCTTCTCCCACACGTAATCACCCATTTCGCGCGCCAGCGGCCTTTCTCACGCTATCGATCATCTCGCTGCTTGATAAGCGTATAAGCTCCAAGCCAATCAATACCCTGGCTTCACTTGATTGACTGCAGACGGCAGAGTACACATCACACGGGCAAAACATACACAACACCAACACGCAACACATCGCTGGCAGCTAGCTCATCACACAGCCTCCGTACACCGCATCTCCTAGCAGTAAAGCTGCTCCCACCAACTTTGTCTTACCTGAGTTGTGATTTTTAACTGAATCAGTTTCAAGACAGACACACTTACCTCAGCAGCAGCCGCCTTTATCCCATTCTGAAGCCCGTGCATATCCACCGCCTGCTCTTGCTCTTGCCCCTCCTCTTCTTCGGAATCGTCCACCACCTCCTCGAGTAGGACGCCTCGACGGACTGGCGAGGAGCCCCCGTAGGCTGTGCGTTCGGGTCCTTTATGTCGCGTGGCTGCGCGACGAGACGAGGGCGGCTTTGTAGAGGTGGCAGCATAACTACTGCCGCTGTGGGTGGGGTTCCTGGCGGCCTCAATGGCGGCTCTGGTTTCTGCCTCCCTTCGCTTCCGTTCCGCCTCCTTCTCTGCGGCTGCTTCTTCCTGCGCATTCTCATCCTCTTCTTCTTCCTCCTCCTCATCGTCATCGGGCTCGTCCTCATCCTCCTCCTCCTCAATGACCATGCGTCGACCACCCTCGATGTGGCTGTGCTGGCGTTTGGCGTGCTCCTCCCTAACGGCCTTTAGGAGATTCTATCGAAAAGGAGGCGCAGGGGAGACGGTAAGTATTAAGCCTCACAAACAAACTGCATTAATTCAGTAGCTCAGTCTATTTAGGGTAGTAGGCAATGCCTTTGAAGACGCTAGTGAATACTGTATGCACATATAGTCCACATAAATACACAGAATTAGTGTTACTAAGTAGCATATACACGTTTACACATTGTAACAGTGAAATTTACGCATAGTCATCCTGAAGATCGTAGATAAGATTGTCTGATAGCACATATGGATTTCATTTATATACGTGAGCGAGGCGTTGGTATGTTCTAACAGTTCTTTTCTGTGCATATGAGCGGTATTTGTTTAGTAAATATACTTCGATATTGCGTTCAAATATATCTGTCGAGTTTGCCATTATGACCTCCCTGGGCAGTCCGTTCCAGACACCGATTACGCACTGTGAAAATTAATGGCTCTAAACAACCAAATTGGATAAGGTTTCTCAGAGTTAGCATCAATAGAAAACGTGTCAGATTGCTTACAAATAAACCGCACCCTTATGGCATATTTTACTGTAACCAATTCATCGCCTCTGCCTACTGAGATCCACCTATACACTCGCT